AATTGCTCTTCTTGGCCGTGATTTTTCCCTTATTCATAAGGGTTTTCACGTAAAATCTTGATGTCATTATTGCTGCATTTCTATTCTTGTTGATTTAACCATAACTTAGTGTTCTGCGTTTATCACTAATACCGTGAATATTATTTTTGCGGGTCTATTTTTCCCAACAAGTGGTATCAGAGCCAAGGTTCTGTCTGAGTATGCTTTGTGGTTGCAGCACAATCTGAACTTTCACATCAGAAAAGAATTACTTTGGTCTCCTAATAAATAGTATTTGTATTTGTGATAAACGATAGAAGCCAACACTAGTAGAATGGTAACTTTGAATGGCACAAATTATGCCATTTGGAAGGGCAAAATGGAAGATTTGCTCTATGTCAAGAATTTTCATCAACCTGTCTTCGCCACTATAAAGCTTGATAATAAATCAGATGAAGAGTAGAATTTGTTACACAGGCAGGTTTGTAGCTTTATTAGACAGTGGGTTGACGATAATGTTTTGAACCATATTTCTGGGGAAACACATGCTCGGACCCTATAGGAGCACCTTGAAAGTTTGTATGCTCGAAAAACTGGAAACAACACGATGTTTCTGATAAAGCAGATGTTGGGTTTAAAATACCATGATGGTTCCGCGATGACAGATCATCTGAATAATTTTCAGGGGATCATGAACCAATTATCTGCTATGGGCATTATATTTGATGAAGAAATTCAAGGCCTATTTCTACTTGGTTCCCTACCAGATTCTTGAGAAATTCTTAAAACTTCATTATCAAATTCTGCTTCGGATGGTGTGATCTCTATGGATCTTTCCAAGAGAAGCCTTTTAAATGAAGAACTGAGAAGAAAATCTTAGGGTTCCTCCTCATCAGATGTCTTGGTGACTGACTCTAGGGGGAGAAGAAAGAATCGGGGTTCTCAAAATAGAGAACATAATAGAAGCAAATCCAGAAGCAGACTTAAAGATATTGAGTGTTATCATTGCGGGAAGAAAGGGCACACAAAGAAGTTCTGCCGGATTTTGAAAAAGGAGAATAGAGACAAGGAAGAACAGAAAGAAGATGGCAATCGTGTGGCCACCGTCACTACAGAAGATCTTATTACTGTCCTTGATGCGGATCTGATAAATATTCCTTGTGATGAGTCAAGCTGGGTTGTGGACAGTGGTGCCACATCTCATGTGACATCAAGGAAGGAATTTTTCTCATCCTATACTGAGGGTGACTTTGGAACTTTGAGTATGGGTAATGAGACTGTATCTAGGGTGACTGGTGTTGGAACAATTTGTTTGGAAACTAGTATTGGAACTAAACTAGTTTTAAACAATGTAAAGCATGCACCTGATGTTCGTTTGCATTTGATCTCTGTTGGTGTTTTGGATGATGAGGGATGTGTCAGTACCAATGATGCTGGAAAGTGGAAGCTCACTAAGGGTTCTATGATTGTGGCTCGGTGGGAAAAGCGTCGTGGTCTATACTGGACTACGACCTCTACATGTGTTGATATGGTGAATGTCGTTGAGAGCAATAGCTCTTCAACGTTATGGCATAAGAGGCTTAGCCACATTAGCAAGAAAGGACTAAATTTTCTGGCCAATAAGAAATTGTTGTCAAATTTTGAAAGTGCAAAATTAGAAAAATGTGAGCACTGCTTGGCTGGAAAACGAAAAAGAGTTTCTTTCCAGTCTCATCCTCCTTCAAGAAAGACAAAGTTGCTTGAGTTAGTGCCTTCATATTTATGTGTTCCAATGAAGACAAGGACTTTGGGTAGTGCACTTTATTTTGCTACCTTTATTGATGATTGTTCAAGGAAACTTTGGGTCTACATCTTGAAGTCTAAAGACTAAGTGTTAGGTGTCTTTAAGCAGTTTCAGGCTTCAATTGAAAGAGAAACTGGAAAGAAGCTGAAGTGTATTCGTACTGATAACGGTGGTGAATATTATGGACCGTTTGACAAATACTGCAAATAACAGGGTATCAGACACCAGAAGACTCCTCCTAAGACTCCTCAGCTTAATGGTTTAGCAGAAAGGATGAATAGGACCTTGATGGAAAGAGTGAGATTTTTGCTTTCTGAAGCAAAGTTACCGAATTCCTTTTGGGGTGAGGCTTTGTTGACCGCCACACATGTTATTAATCTATCCCCTGCAGTTGCTTTGCAAAGTAATGTTCCAAACAAAGTTTGGTATGGCAAGAATGTTTCCTATGACCACTTGAAAGTATTTGGTTGCAAAGCTTTTGTATATGTGCCTAAAAATGAGAGGTCAAAATTAACTGCCAAGACAAGACAGTGCATCTTCATTGGTTATGGCCTTGATGAATTTGGTTACAGGCTATATGATCCAATTGAGAAAAAGGTCGTGAGAAGCCGTGATGTTATCTTCATGGAGGATCAAACTATTGAAGATATTAACAAAGCGGAGAAGCTAAAATCTCCAAGTTCTGAAGGTTTAGTTAATCTTGATCAAGTTCCTCATACAAATGTGGATGACGTTGGTGGGCTCAATGATGATGGTGATGCCCAGAACCATATTCGAGATCAACATGTTCATGGTGATGGTGATAATAATGCTAATGTTGATGAGGTAGATGCTCATACTCACGAAGCTGTGGACGAGTTAGATATTCCACTCAGGAGGTCTTCTAGACCTCGTGCTCCTTCCTCCCGTTATTCACCCAATAAGTATGTATTACTCACAGATGGGGAGAACCTGAATGTTATGCGGAGGCCATAGAAGATGAACTCAAGGATCAATGGATTGAAGCCATGCAAGATGAGATGAAATCTCTGCATGAGAACCATACTTATGAGTTAGTGAAATTGCCTAAGGGCATGGGAGTTTTGAAGAACAAGTGGGTGTTCAAAGTTAAAGCTGAAAAACATAGTTTGAAGCACAGATACAACGCTAGATTGGTCGTCAAGGGATTTGGTCAAAGGAAAGGTATTGACTTTGACGAAATATTTTCTCCTATCGTGAAAATGTCCTCCATTCGGACAATTCTTAGTTTGACTGCTAGTCTTGATTTGGAGATTGAGCAAATGAATGTGAAGACTGCTTTTCTTCACGGTGACTTAGAAGAGGAGATCTATATGGAACAACCTGAGGGCTTCAAGGTAAAAGGTAAAGAAAATCTTGTATGCAAACTTAAGTAGAGTCTATACGGATTGAAGCAAGCTCCCAGACAGTGGTATAAGAAGTTTGATTTTGTTACGGGGGAGCAAGGCTACAAGAAGACTTCTTCAGATCATTGTGTGTTTGTACAAAGATTTTCTAGATGACTTTATCATCCTCTTGCTATATGTGGATGATATGTTGATTGTGGGAAGAAATGCTTCCAAGATTGACGAGTTGAAGAAACAGTTGAAAAAGTCTTTTACAATGAAAGACTTGGGTAATGCTAAGCAGATTTTGGGCATGAGAATTACTCGTTCGAGAAACAAAAGGAAGCTTTAATTGTCATAAGAGAAGTACATAGAACGTGTACTGGAGCGCTTCGATATGAAAAGTGCTAAGTTGGTTCACACACCCTTTCCTGGTCATATGAAGTTGAGTAAGAAGATGTGTCCTACAACAACGGAGGAAAAAGAGAGAATGTCCAAGATTCTTTATTCCTCTGCCATCGGAAGTTTGATGTATGCAATGGTATGCACTCGACCAGATATTGCTCATGTAGTCGGTGTTGTTAGAAGATTTCTCGAAAATCCAGGAAAAGAGCATTGGGAAGCTGTAAAGTGGATACTCAGGTATCTAAGAGGAAGCTCACATGAATGCTTATGTTTTGGAGGATCAAATCCAATTTTGAAGGGCTATACAGATTCTGATATGGCAGGTGACCTTGATAACAGAATATCCACTACAGGATATTTGTTTACTTTTTCAGGGGGAGCTACATCATGGCAGTCGAAGTTGCAGAAGTGTGTCGCACTGTCTACAATTGAAGCGGAGTATATTGCGGCTACTAAAGCAGGCAAAGAGATGATATGGCTCAAGAGATTTCTTCAAGAACTTGGATTGCGACAGATGGAGTGTGTTGTCTATTGCGACAGTCAGGGTGCAATAGACCTAAGCAAAAACTACATATACCATGCGAGAACAAAACACATCGACGTCAGATATCGTTGGATCCGTGAACAAGTGAAGAACGAATCACTTCAGGTCAAAAAGATTCACACAAGTGAAAATCCTGCTGATATGTTGACCAAGGTGGTACCAAGAGACAAGTTCGAGTTATGCAAAGAACTTGTCGGCATGCACTCAGACTAGAAGACAGTGCTACCTCCTCTAGATGAATCAGACTGGAGGAGGAGATTGATATGGTGTCCATCTCATTCAAATGATTTGGTAACCAATTTTATTGACTTGGTTTGGTTTGGTAGTCAACCTTGTTGAATTGGTATGAATTGGTAGCCAATTTTATTGACTTGGTTTGGTTTGGTTGTCAACCTTGTTGAATTGGTATGAATTGGTAGCCAATTTTATTGACTTGGTTTGGTTTGGTTGTCAACCTTGTTGAATTGGTATGGATTGGTAGCCAACTTGTTGAAATTGTGAAAAGGGTGTGCAAATTGTCAAATATTGTACGCTTTAGAGAGTGAGGTTTTGGCTATAAAACGAGAGCTTTAACTCTCATTTCTACACACCAACAAAGAGAGAAAAAAGTGAGAGCAAGGTATTCCATAAACTATAAGAAAATAGTTTATGAAGAAAAATACAGTGTGAGAGATATTGTAGTGAGGTGAGAAAAGCAAAAGAGTGTTTATTTCTTTTGATGGTGTAGTGGTCTTAGGAGTATTTTTACTTGTTACTACACAGTGTAAAATTTCTCGCTATAGTGATATCAGTTGATCTTCTTGGCCGTGGTTTTTCCCTTATTCAGAAGGGTTTCCACGTAAAATCTTGGTGTCATTATTGTTGCATTTCTATTCTTGCTAATTTAACCATAACTTAGTGTTCTGCGTTTATTACTAATACCATGAATATTATTTTTGCGGGTCTATTTTTCCCAACAATAAGTTGGATTTAGATTAATTAGATAAATACAAAAGTTTAGTAACTGCAAGAAGGATTAACTCATGTGCAACCTTGGCTTAGTTCAACCAAATGACAATTGGAAAAAAAAGAAAGAAGAAAAAGCAAAAAGAGGGACTGAAATGTTGTAATATCTGCTACTCCTTGTTGGTGAAAAATGCTTTGATCTCTTATCTCCTGACTATGAACCGGAAAAAAAAAAAAGAAATTAATCAGGAAAGAAAGGGAGGAATTAAAAGAAAAACAAAAGAGAAACTTAGTAAATTGATTATCTCTCCCTTACCTAAGTTATTACAGAGGAGATTTACATGGACAAAGGCAAGGCCTTAGTAGTACAGTGATCCTGCAGAAATAACAGAAAAAACATCAGTGGAATTTATCGCACTATAAAAAGAGATATATATCACCCTGAAGCAATATCCTTTACTTCATTGGTTTTAATTTATGTGACAATATTTCTTTATTAATTTGTTATAAAAAAAGAATGATATATGTTTCTATATTTGGAGATAAGTTAATTTTAGACTTTCAATTCTATCTTTAACATAGACAGACCTATGTATTGAATTGAGGGCTCACCGGACCACGTTAGCCTCGTCCAAAGCCAGACCTATATATATATATTGAAAACGGTCATATAATTTACTTGAAATCCTTAAGATCAAAAGGTCGATGGGACACTGGTTGAGCAGTCCGCTCATGTACACCTGTCACCTTTAAATCCTGAATCTGTCTCTGATCTTTAACGAGAAGTTTGTATAGCCAACATAAATATTATGATAATTTAAGATCCTAAGTTTCAAAAGTGTTATAATCACACAAATATTATGACTCATTTAAGATCATAAGTAGTTTCAAAGGTACTCTTTTCTTTTTTAAACTCCGTGTTAAGTTAAATTAGTTAAGTCACATAAATTGAAACAGGTATCTATTACAACTCCAATATTATCATACTTACCCTGCCACCAATTTCCTCTTGAAGCAGAGTTTGAACCATCACCTCCACCATCTTTCTTCACCTAATCAAGTAAGCAGAAAAATACAAAATTCATAAACTGAAAAACAACTAAGTAATATTATCTACTCAAAAATGTGGACGCTAATTTCAGTTATTTTTTACAGGTAAATATTTTGATATACTTACAATATTACTCTGAGAGCAAGGTGGCTGGGTATTAATTGGAGAATAAATATCTTGGCCACCATAATAGATAGAAGAGCTGAAATTACATGCTGCTTCTACTTTTTCTCCCCTGCTTCTTTTGGATCCATTATCTGTAAACATACAAATTTAAATTCAGCATAAGAACATTAAATATTTTTTACATATTTAAGCAACATATTGTTGTTAAATTAGTGAAAATAACCTGAAGTCCCATATTTTGCATTGCCATATTGGTTCCCTACTTCTTGTGTTCTTGATATACTTTTATCCACAGCGTGAATGGGATCTCTTCTAAGTCCCTAAAGTTATAATTGGAAAAATAAAAAAAGAAGTACTCAATCAGATTTTGTCTGTGCTTAGAAAATATTGTATGCCTAAGAATTAAGTAAAGAAAAAGAAAAGAATAGTACTCCTACTACTTATTAAGCATAAAAAGAATATAAATTAGAAATTAAGGCAAATGGTGATTGTAGTAAGATAAATGAGATTTCTTCGCCCTTAATCAAAGGTCTCGAGTTCGAGTTCCAGATACCGAATGGTTATATAAAGAGGCAAATCCAACCATGAGTTTGCATGTTCGATAAAACTCAAGTATTTCAAAGTCTAGCCTTAATGCAAAAATAAATATAGATAAAATTAAATATATATTTTAAAATTCACTTTCTTAATTCAGAACCCACAAAATTAGAAATTTGAATCCATCATTGAGCAGAAGAGATGAATGCAGAATGAGTTATAAGGGAAAACAAAGAAAAGGAGCAATTGGATACACAAAGCATTTTGCATTCACGCATGGTTCGGGGAAGAGCAGCACCCCTAGGGGTGTGAAATAGACAATCTACCCTAATATAAACATTAGTGACTGGTTTTATAGCCCGAACCCAAACCTATAAATCACATGAAGATAAACCGTAACCTATAAATCACATGAAGAAAATAAAGAGTAAGTAGTAAATACCGTGGAAGGTGGACCAAAAACGGAACCAAAGAGGGAGGAGTTTGAGGGCTCTTTAGGTCCAAAGAGTTCGGTTGTGAAGGAAGAAGAAGAGGAACCAACCACTTGCTTTGACTTCTCCATATATAATTTTGCTAAACTAAAAATGATCACCAGAAGTACACTGTTTTTTGCTTTCTTTGTCAACTAACCTAACAAACTAGTAACAATTTGGAAGAGTAGTTTTATCACTAAGTTTTTTTGTGTGGTTTGTGAGAAGAAACAAAGATTGTCAATTCTATTTATAGCACAAAGCAAACCAAAAAGATACATTCACGATTTCAACACATGCATGTCATCACTCACGATCAAAGCCGTATCTAGAATTTTAGTTCTATTGGTTCAGTATTTAAACTTATGAGTTCATATCTACTATTTATTACAATTTTAATAATTTTTTACACATAAATTTATGTTCCGCATTGAAAGTACTGAGTTCAGTTGAACCCAACAGTTGTATGGTGCATCCGCCCTGGCTCATAATAGGTCACCAACAACTAGGGGCGGATGTAGCATTCTAGTGACGAGTTTAATTGAGCCTATATTTTTCGACACGGAGCATAAATTAATGTGTAAAGATCCACTAAAATTATAATAAATAGTAGATTGAACCTATAATTTTTAAAAAATAATAGGTACAATATTAAAAATCTTAAATATTTCATAAAATTTAAATCTTGAATCGCCAACGGGTCAATGATCAAAGATGGTTTATGCAAGTTGGGGCCCATTTATCACTTCTTTCCTCCCAATAAATAATGCTTACACATGGAGAACAAATGCTCACAAGTGGACATGTTGCTTGTCTTCTAAGACTAGGGTGTTAATAATTCTTTGAAAATCGATTGAATCGAACTTTATCGAATCGATGACTAAATTTACTACTCCCTCCGTTCCAATTTATGTGAACATGTTTGACTAAGTACGAAGTTTAAGAAAAAATGAAGATTTTTGAATTTGTGGTCCTAAATAAGTCAAAAAGGGTTGCAGAGTATTTGTGTGATTATAAAAGCTTCTCACTAAAAGTAGAATTGAAAGTTTAAGCTAAATTGTTTCCAAATTTAGAAAGGCGTCATTCTTTTTGAAACGGACCAAAAAGGAAATATGTTCACATAAACTGGAACAGAGGGAGTAGATTTTTAAAAAAAATATATAATTCAATATAAGCATTTATTGAATTTATTTATTTTATATATTACATATAAAAATAACTAAGCATTTAAATTTTTAGTTAAGTCTTAGGCCTTGATAGAAGAAGGGGTACTTGTGCATTAAATTTCTAGTAATGTATGTTTTGAAATTAAAATGTAAAGATTCAAGAATACAAGAAATATTCACAACACTTATGGAAATAATCTTACAAACTACAAAGTCAAATGCAAAGAATGGGTACTTGGAGTAAGACTAAGTTAAGTGATACCCACTCTGAAAGAGATAAATAGATAGATGGATAAGGTCGTCTATATCTGTCTTTCAAGTTGTGTTTATTCGCATATTTTGGAGTCTCTCTCACTAAAGCAAACAGCTGACTCTCCTTTCTCTATTGCCCTTGCCTTTCATGGTTCCATTATTCTGGGCAGCCCCGTGCACAAGGTATTTCATATTTATAAAGGCGGAGCCAGAATTTGAAAGTTATAGGTTTGAGGTTCTAATCTTTTTAAGTTACTGGGTTCTAAATTAATAATTTAATATTTAACAAATTTCATAAGGCAAATACAGGATTTGGACTAAAGCTACTGGGTTCGACCAAACCAGTAATTGATAGGCTAGCTCTGCCCCTGCGCTTTCACATTTAAGGTCCGGGGAAGGGTCGAACCCCAAAAAATGTGATGTAGACAGTCTACCTAATGTAAGCATTAGTGACTGATTTCACGGCTCGGACATGTGACCTATAAATTACACGAAGACAACTTTCTGTTGCTCCAAGGCTCTCCTTCTTTGTTGGAAAAAACACATACCAAAAAATATTATATCACTTAGGTTCTGTGATCTTCACTAAAATCGTGGGCAAAATCTTTGTTAAACATTGAGCATAGAATATTTTGATTTGTGATAACAACGAAAGATCTAGCCATGTGATAATAAAATGTCAAAACTCTATTCCTTTTCCTCATTTTTCTTTTGGTAGAGAATTATTCCTTTAGTGTGAATACTATCACTTATTTAGTTGCTGTTTAGTTATTGGACTTGGAGAATTTCTTATTATTCCCAAATAGTTGATCTTCACTCTCGACGACTTAATTTGTAGTATCTAGTCCTATCTAGAAGCAAAAGGTCTCTTCCATATATAAAGTATTTCATATCTTTTTTCTTCTTTATTTTCTAAGGTCAACTACGCAGTATTCACTCCTTTTTTACTTGATTTTCAGATAGTTCAGTTGTATGTAATTGAGTGTGTGAAGGTTTTCTGAAACATGGACTAGATAGGGTATATTTCCTAGCTACTTGACCTCAATGTATAAATTTTTTATTCTATCAGATTATGTTGACTTACAACACAAGAAATTTTTTTTATGGTAAGCCCGAGATGGTACCTATAAAATAAAAAAATAACAGGTTAAATTGAACTGTTAATAGCTCTTTGATTGAAAGAATATGGTTCCAATAATACATTATTCCAGTCGAGTCCAATGGAATTTACAGTTTGTTTGGATGGTTGTTACCTATTGTATTGCATTGCATTGTTATTTTAAATATAATATTTATTTTGATTGTTATTTAAAGTTTATTGTATCGTATTATTAAATTTGTCATTATATAGCAATAAAAAGTGTGACTTTATGTAATGATCAATTTGATGTGGTCACGTCGTTACTCTATTTTTTCTCTCACTTTGTTCTTCCTTATTATTAAGTAATCTTATTTTATTCTTTACCTTATCTTTTTATATAATAATTTGACCCAGTATCTTACTTTTCGTTGTAATAGTGTAAGTTTATTTTCCATATTGTTGATGTGTAATATCATGAAACGATGACAAATAATACAATATATCTAAATATTATATTTAATGAAAACAATACAATACGATATTTAATACATTATGAAACGATATGTTATGAATTATATTAAACAACTAGCACCAGGTGCTAATCGCCCCATCAAGACAGTTATAATTGGTCATAACCATTCAAATTCCTGTTTGTTCGCTTATTTCTGTGACTTCAAATTTCAAGACAATTTTTCTAAACTTTTATCATGTCTAACCGAAGCCTAGGGCCCTTTCCATTTCTCAGATTTTAATTTGACTATTAATGGTAAGTTTTCTTTCTCCTCTTTATGGTCTCTTCTTAATTGTTCTCAACATTGGCTTGAAATATTGAGTTTTTATCTTGGGTTTCCGTTGGCCCTGTAATATTATTATTTTGATATAGATTTGGATCTAATTTTGCATTGATAGGTCAATATTGATACGTAAAGAGAAGTGGCAATGGCATATAAAGTGGATCATGAATATGATTACTTATTCAAGATTGTTTTGATTGGAGATTCAGGTGTTGGTAAATCTAATATACTTTCTAGGTTTACCCGAAATGAATTTTGTTTGGAGTCTAAGTCCACCATTGGCGTTGAATTTGCAACAAGGACCCTTCAGGTACAACGTATCGCATTTTATAAGATGTTTTTTCTGTTCATTTGTACAACAAAATGGAAGAAAATTTTGGCAGCATCATGTTTGTGTATGAGTGGGTCGTTTCCAAATAGATTTTCTTGTAAGGGTAGTGTAATTTATTACTACTACCTTGTTAGACAATTGCATCTGAAAAAACTTATAATTGGGCTATTAGTATTAGCCACTTTCGGATCAATCTTCATCATGTAACTTATATAAGTATTATTTTTCTAAGTTATTAATTAATACTTCATTTATCCCCTTTATGTGCCATACTTACTTTTTTATCTATCCAAAAAAAAATGAGATACTTATATATTTTAAAACAATTTAGCTTTAGAATTTTTATATTACCCTTGGTGAGACCTAATTTATAGTCACACAAATATTGTTTACGGCTTATTTTAAATTACAAGTTTCAAAAAAAAAAATCTGGTTCAAAAGTTTTTCTATCTACCTTAATACGTGCCTAGTCAAACAAGACCGCTTAGTACTAATTATAAAAAATTACATATAACTACCGTTTAAATAACATGACTGTATAAATATATTTTTTTATAATTAATGCATAGAAGTAAATATCTTTTTTTAAACAATCCTTATGTATTTTTGTTGCATGGTGCAGGTAGAGGGGAAGACAGTAAAGGCACAAATATGGGACACGNATGCAGGTAGAGGGCAAGACAGTGAAGGCACAAATATGGGACACTGCTGGTCAAGAAAGGTACAGAGCAATAACAAGTGCTTATTACAGAGGAGCCGTTGGTGCACTTTTGGTCTACGACATAACCAAAAGACAAACCTTCGAAAACGTGAGCCGTTGGCTTCGCGAACTTAGGGACCATGCAGATTCAAATATTGTTATCATGTTGGCTGGAAATAAGTCAGATTTGAACCATCTCCGAGCAGTCCCTGACCAGGACGCTCGGATCTTGGCTGAGAAAGAAGGGCTCTCGTTCCTCGAGACGTCTGCTCTCGAGGCGTATAATGTTGAGAAAGCGTTTCAGACTATCTTGTTGGATATTTATCAGATCATAAGTAGGAAAGCTTTGGCTGCTCAAGAAGCAGCTGCTATTCCTGGTCAAGGCACTGCTATTAATGTTGGAGAGTATTCTGGTAACAATAACAGAAGACCATGTTGTTCTAATTAACTGAGAGGGATTAAAAAGGAAAGATGTAAATGTTTATTGCCAGATTATCATACTTTTGTGTGTAACAGTTTTATCAGACAATGCTATAGAGAGATTATAGGTTACTTAAAAATGTTGTAATCTTTTACAAGTGAGGTGAAAATGTTGTACTAATACTTTTAATTTCTTGGCCTTCTTATTGCTTTGTTGAAGGAAATATGATTTTGCATATGAACGAGATTCAAACTACTTGATTTTTACGTGAATTTAAATATATATGTTGATTTTGTAGGATTTTTTTGACAGACTCCTATTGGCATGAATTTTCATAAGACCATAAGAAACGGCCTAATGACCAATACGAATTTATAATTATTTCCACTTTTTCGTGTGAATTAGTACGTGCTGATTTTGTAGAATTTTCTTTACGGATTCCAATTGGCCTGAAATTTTGTAGGTCCATAGGAAACGACCTAACGACCATCACTTATCGCTTCGCCATGACTTTCGGGTTTATTTATTGGTATTTGGGGTCATACAACACGAATTTATTGTTATATCCCTTTTCATGTGTATTTATACATGATGATTTTGTAAAAAAAATTGACGGTTCCGATTGTGCTGAAAATTTATGAGTCCATAGAAAACATCCTAATGACCAATACTCATCTCTTCGTCATGACTTCTAGGTTAATTTTATGGTGACTCCATAGAAAAAACGAAGAACGGTCAAGGCGAGGCGGTGACTATTGTTCCTTAGGTTGTTTTTGATGGCCTAACAAAACCTTAGGAAATCCGGGACTGGTCGCCCGGGCCCATACAAAAGGTGTGGGCTATAGCACACAAAAATATGGAAATCGGACGAAATTCCTATTGGCCCTAAAACGCCAAAAAAGAGGAACGGTCATGGCTAGGCGGTGACTATTATTCCTTATGTTGTTTCTTATGGGGAGGCAAAATTTTAAGTGATCCGGGTCCGGTCACCTGTGCCCATGCAGAATGTTGTGCTATAGCACACGAAATCTAGAAATCGGACGGAATTCCAATTTTATGTCCCTAAAACGCCTACAAACGGGGAACGGTCATGGTCGTGACTATTGTTCTTTAGGTCGTTTTTTATTGGCCGACAAAAATTTAGGAGATCTGGGTCCGGTTGCCCGGGCCCATGCAAAAGACATGGGCTAGAGCAAACAAAATCTGGGTATCGGGCGGAATTCTAGTTTTATGGCCCTAAAATGCCATAAAACAAGGAGCGGTTATGGCAAGACATTGACTATTGTTTCTTAGTTCGTTTTTTATGGCCGAAAAATTTTTAGGCGATCCGGTCTGGTAGCTCGGGCCCATGCAAAAGAAGTGGGCTATATCACATGAAAATTTGGAAATTAGACGGAATTCTAGTTTTATAACCCTAAAATGCCAAAAAATGAGGAACGATCATGGTAAAACGATGACTATTGCTCCTAAGGTTGTTTTTGATGGTCCAATAAAATTGTAGGAGATCCAGGTCCTTTCTCCTAGGCCCATGAAGAAGACATGGGCTATACGAAAATTTGTGAATTGGGCGGAATTCCAATTTTATGGCCCTAATACGTCAAAAAATGAGTAACGGTCATGGCGAGGTAATGACTATTATTTGTTAGGTCATTTTTATGGGTCGAAAAAATTGTAGACAATCCGGTCAGGTCGTCCCGGCCCATGCAGAACACACAAAAATCTGAGAATCAGAAGGAATTCCAGTTTTATTGCCTTAAAACGTCAAAAAATGAGGAACAATCATGGAAAGGTGGTGATTATTGTTTCTTAGGCTATTTTTGATGGGCCGGCAAATTTTTATGCGATCCGCGATCGGTCGCATGGGCCAATGCAGCAGACGTGGGCTATAACACATGAAAATCTGAAAATCAGGTGAGATTCCAATTTTATGGTCCTAAAATGCCAAAAAATGAGTTACGATCATGGCGAGGCGGTGACTATGGTTCCTTCGGGCGTTTTTGATTGTCCAAAAAAATTTTATTCGATCCGGGTCTGATTATCCGTCCCATGAAGAAGGCGTGGGCATTAACACACAAAAATCTGGGAATCGGGCAAAATTTATGTTTTACGGTCCTAAAAAGCAAACAAAAACAAGTAACGATCAATTCGAGGCGGTAACTATTGTTCCTTAGGTCTTTTTGATGGCCCGACAAATTTTGAGGCAATCTGGATCCGGTCGCCCAGTCCATACAGAAGGTGTGGGCTATAGCACACGAAAATATGAGAATCGGACGGAATTTTAATATTAAGTACTTAAAACCCAAAAAACGAAGAACAATCATGGAGAGATGGTGCCAATTTCTCCTTAGATAAATGTTAACGGTACAAATATATATTCGGTAATCCAGGTCCGGTCGCTCTGGCCCATGCAGATGGCGTGGGCTGTAGCACGTGAATATATGTGTATACGGTCAATATCAGGGAATTCGACTTAGGGGCTACTGTGGCTTTCCACGCCCAACCTCGAAAAACTCGAAGCAGAACGTGAAGTGTGACCCCGAGGTGCGTCCTTCGAGGGAGCACATCGAAGGTTTACTATGGTCAACCTCGGAGCAGTACAAATCGGTGATCGTAATGGAAAGACGGGAAAGATCCCAAGTATACGTGGATAGAGCTGACTAGGTCTGCAAGAATAGTACAAATCTATACTGAGCCATTATACAGCTGTATAGCATTTCCTCATCATTATTAGACATGTACTATGTTGGGATTCCCCCCTCCTATATAAAGGGGACCCTTGTCATTTTGTAACACACACGAATATAGAATACAATAGAACATTCCCTACTTTTCTTGCCTGAACGAGCTCAACAACTATTCTACAGCTTTATTGCTACTAATTTATTATGTTCATTCGTTGTTCTTCATTTATGGCTCATCATCAACCTTTAAAGGCTGCCCTTGAGGTCCCATATCGTTGAGCTCGAGGCCCTCAGTCTTGTGACCACACTGGTTTGCTTATCATTTCTTGCTCATTTACACTTAGCATTATTCACATAACAACTAGTATTAAGATAAATCAAGTATTTTTAGAACCACAAATCAAATATAATTATTATTACCATTTTTCGAGGTAAACAGTTTGGCGCCCACCGTGGGGCTAAAAATAAAAGTGATTGTTTTGGTGCTAGTTTTCTGATAACACACGTTATTCTTCACACTTTTTCTTGTCAAAGATTCTTTGATTTCAGGCCTAACCATGTCTAGCACACAAAATGCACCTCTTCACGATAGTGAGGGACTTGGAGAAAACAGCGGCATAGGACTTGGCGTACCACCTGTAAACCCCGAGGGAGTACCAAACATGGAGCCGGTTGATATCAGATCCCACAACGCTCTGAACACGGAGGCAGGCACAGACCCCGTAAGGAATAGGCACAAGGAAGCCCAGGCTGGAGGCCAAGAAGCACGAGGAATGGAAGAAGGCGGAGTCAGCCTCTAAGTGATATTCGAAATGTTGCAAGCTCAGCAAGTTGACATCGCTCAACTTCAAAGTCAGAACAGAACCTCTAACACCGCTAAACCAGTAAACATGGAGCATGAACCAGCGCTAGAAAGACCTGATGAAAGCGGCTCGGGGACTGACCCTTCAATCATGAAAATGCTCGAGGAATTGACTAAAAAAATTGAGTGAGGAGAAAAGAAGGTAGAGGCTAACGATAAAAAGGTGCATACTTACAACTCGAGGGTTGATCAGATCCCGGGCGGACCCCGATTCTAAAGGGTATAGATTCAAAGAAGTTCGGGAAGAAACCATTCCCATCAAGTGCGACTCCAAAGCCCATCCCGAAGAAATTCAGAATGCCCGATGTCCTGAAGTATAACGGGACCACGAACCCCAATGAGCACATTACCGCTTATGCTTGTGTTGTAAAAGGGAATGACTTAAAGGATGACGAGATTGAATCTGTCTTGTTGAAGAAGTTTGGAGAAACACTATCGAAGGGGCCATGATGTGGTATCACAACCTACCCCGAACTCGATGGATTTGTTTGCCATGTTGGCAAATTCTTTTGTGAAGGCACATACCGATGCCATCAAGGTTGCTACAAGGAAGTCCAATGTCTCCAAGATCAAACAAAGGGGTAACGAGATGCTGAGGGAATTTGTATCTCGCTTCCAGATGGAGTAAATGGAATTACCACCGGTATCCGATGACTGGGCAGTTCAGGCCTTCACTCAGGGCTTGAATGAACGAAGCTCGGTAGCTTCAAAGCAGCTAAACCAAAACTTGGTTGAGTATCCCACCGTGACTTGGGCAGATGTACACAACAGATATCAATCAAAGATTAGGGTCAAGGACGACCAACTAGGAGCCCCCTCTGGCTCAGTATATCCAAAAAGGCTCCTAGCAAAGGAACCAAGAGAGTCAAAATCAGGCAAAGAAAGGTATCAGCCATAGTTCAAGGATCGAAGAGTCACCTCGAGGAGGAATATACCTCGAAGTGATCAAAGAGTAGATCAAGGCCAAACTTCCCGGGGACTTATGAGAAAAATCGGGTTTGACAGGCATTCAAGGCCAATGGAGGCACCCCGATTGTCGGAATACAACTTCAACATCGATGTCTTACATATCATATCAGCCATGGGTAGAATCAGGGATACCAGATGGCCGAAGCCCGCACAGTCAGATCTTTCCCGGAGGAACCCCAACTCGATGTGCGAATACAATGGCATTCATGGTCATAGGACCGAGGATTGTAGATAGCTCCGAGAGGAGGCGGCCCGGCTGATCAATGAAGGGCACTTTCGAGAATTCCTCGGTGATCGAGCCAAGAACCACTTTCAAGAAAGAGAGGCGAACAGAAAAAATGGACCAGAAAAACCTTAGCATATCATTTACATGATCGTTGGAAGAACCGATGTCCCATAAGGACCCGCGTTCAAACAGACCAATGTGTCCATTGCAACGAAAAGGTAATCGGAGCTATATACCCAAGGACGCCCTTACATTTAGAGAAGAAAACATCGAGGCCTTGTCCCACCACATAATGATGCATTGGTAATTTTTTTTCTTTTGAATAACGTTCAAATTAAACATGTGCTCGTGGATCCAGGTAGCTCAGCCAACATAATTAGGTCAAAGGTGGTAGAGCAGCTTAGAATACTCGATCAAATCGTGCCCACCTCTCGAGTCCTCAATGAGTTCAACATGGCAAGCGAGACAACGAAAGGGGAGATCATCTTCCCGATCAATGTGGCTGGTACAATCCAAG